AAAGAAATAAATAGGCTCAGCGCCTGTGGCTCAAGCAGCTAAGGCACCAGCCCCATACACCTATGTGGCTGGCGGGTTCCAATCCAGCCCAGGCCTGCCAAACAATGACGGCAGCAACCAAAAAATAGCCGGGCGTTGTGGCAGGCACCTGTAGTCCCATCTTCTTGGGAGACGGAGGCAGGAGACTTGCTTTAACCTAGGAGTTGGAGGTTGCTATGAGCTGTGATGCCACAGCACTCTACCCAGGGTGATAGCTTAAGGCTCTGTTTCCAAAATAAATAAATAAAATACAGTGATCCATTATACAAACCAACCCTGTAAATTCAGGGATTTGAGAACAAGGCTTTTGTGATTCACAGGTAATTCCTAAACCTTGCTGCTCATCAGAATTGCTCAGATTTGTTAAAAATACACCTCAAATTTACTAAAGCATAATGCTCATGGAATTAAGCTCTAGATTTTTCTGATGGCCTATGAGGGAATTTGGGTAATACCTACCTTGAAAAAAATTCATTTAGCAGGTAAGTCACAGGTAGTAACACTCCCACTCCCTGTTTTCTCCAAATGTGGTTTGAACAGCTCAAACTTGTTCAAATAAAAGAGTTCTGGAAATTTGGCTTGGCACCTGTAGTGGTTATGGCGCTGGCCACATACACCAAGGCTAGCAGGTTCAAACCCAGCCCGGGCCAGCTAAACAACAGCAACTGCAACAACAACAACAAAAACCGGGTGTTGTGGCGGGCACCTATAGTCCCAGCTACTTGGGAGGCTGAGGCAAGAGAATCACTTAAGCCCAAGAGCTTGAGGTTGCTGTGAGCTGTGATGCCACGGCACTCTACCAGGGGTGACAAGTGAGACTCTTGTCTCCAAAAAAAAAAAAGTTCTGGAAATTTGAGATCTAGACCTTGATGATTAATGTCCAGGGTGTGCAGTTGTGTTTGTAGATATAAAATCTGTTCTAGGGACTGGGAGGTGAGTCTTTCTCCTGAGTTGATGAAGTTCCTACTGAAGGAAACATTACATACCCTGTGCAAGGATTCATTTTTGTTTCCTGGGCCCCATTTCCCATTATAAACTAGACCAGGCTAAGTGTCTCTCATCGCTTCCTGGAAATTAAGCCTTTAGGGAAGTCATTCTTATGTTCCCTCTGACCGACCTGCAGCTCTTTGGCTTCCCACATCATCAAATTTAGTTTCTTCTTTGGGTCTTCTGAGTTTTTTTCTTTCAGGTATAATGTTTTCTAGATTGACTCTCAAACTTTTCCTTACTAACCTCTTGAATCAAATCAGATCCAAGACCCTTGTTGCCAGCGCCTTCCCACTAGTGTCCTAAGACCAGAAGCTGGGTCAATGACTAAGAATAGGAAATTGCCCAGTCAGCACAGATTCAGAAATTTAACGTACCAAAAGCAATTCCTCTTATTTTTGTGTTCAAGGTTTAATAGCCATTCTTTACCATTATCTCTTGCCTAATAACCAACGAAACACCTTCACGGGGGTGAATGTATGTAAGTTTACTAGAATTTCAAGCATCTCTTTTTTTTTTATAATTTTTTTTTATTTCGACTTTATTACTTTGAAGGTTTTATTTTTTTTTTATTACTTCTTCCTCCTGTAGTGTTTTCTTGCCCCCCATGGAGCTGGGATCACAAGGTCTGGATGTCTCATTGTCCTGTTGTTGTAGAGACGGGGTCTTACTCTGGCTCATCTGGCTCAGGGGGGTCTTCAGCTGGTCGCGAACCTCTGAGCACAGGTGATCCACCTGCCTCGGCCTCTCACAGCGCTGGGACAATAGGCGTGAGCCACCACACCTGGCCAGAATTTCAAGCATCTTTTTTTTTTTTTTTTTTTTTGAGACGGAGCCTCAAGCTATCCCCCTGGGTAGAGTGCCATGGCATCACGCTCACAGCAACCTCCAACTCCTGGGCTCAAGCGAGTCTCCTGCCTCAGCCTCCCAAGTAGCTCGGACCACAGGCGCCCACCACAACGCCTGGCCATTTTTTGGTTGCAGCCATCGTTGTTTGGCGGCCCGGGCTGGGGATTCGAACCCGCCACCTTAGGTGTATGTGGCTGGCGCCTTAGCCGCTTGAGCCACAGGCGCCGAGCCTCAAGCATCTCTTATAGGTATCTGTGACCCTCTTATATGTGGTATACTAAGTAATTTGAGCCTATCCCAATAAAATTGGTTTTCTTCCCTTAAGTTCCTCATTGTGAGTATTTCTCTATAATTCTGAATCTCTTGATTTTAAAAATTAAAATCTCTCAGCTCCCTTCAAGGGGAGACAGGGTAGTAGGAAATCCTCTGCACACATTTTCCCCAGAACTATTAAGGGTCAGAATGGCCAAGAGTCACCAGGCACAGTGGCTTATGCCTGTAATCCTAGCACTCTGGGAGGCTGAGGCAGCTTAGGAGTTCAAGACCACCCTGAGCTAGAGTGAGACCCCATCTCTAAAAATAGCTGGGCATTGTGGTAGCACCTATAATCCCAGCTACTTGGGAGGCTGAAGCAAGAGGATAACTTGAGCCCAAGAGTTTGAGGTTGCTGTGAACTGTGATGCCACTGCACTCTGCCAAGGGTGACAGAGAGAGACTGTCTCAAAAAAAAAAAAAGTAAAATAATAAAAAAATTGGGTGGTGCCTCTGGCTCAGTGAGTATGGCACCAGCTCCATATACTGAGAGTGGTGGGTTCGGACCTGGCCCCGGGCAAATTGTAACCAAAAAAAACCCCAGCCGGGTATTGTGGTGGATGCCTGTAGTCCCAGGTACTCAGGAGGCTGAGGCAAGAGAATCGCCTAAGACCAAGAGCTGGAGGTTGCTGTGAGTTGTGACGCCAGGGCACTCTACCGAGGGCAACAAAGTAAGACTCTGTCTCAAAAAAAAAAACAAAAAACCAACTGAAGCAAGAGAATCACTTCAGCCCAAAAATCTGAAGCTGCTGTGAGCTATCATGATGCCACAGCACTCTATCCAGACAGAGTAAGAGTCCATCTCGAAAAAAAAAAAAAAATGACTAAGAGTCATCAGTCACTTCCCCTGCTGACTGGGGAAGTGAGACCAACTCTTAACAGACTGATGGTCGTTTACTTTACCCATGCTGTATAGCCATTTCTAAAAATAGTAAAGCATTTCAGTTAAGAGAGGAGATCTTTGGAACCAGCTAATTTGGGCAAATTGTATATCCTCTGTTTCATTTTTGTCACCTGTGAAAGGGAACTAATAGCATCTACCTCATAAGGTTGTTGTGAGGATTCAATGAGATAATGTATGCAAGGCTTAGAACACTGCTTAAGACAGAGTTAAGTATTCAATAAATATAAGCTGTTTTTCTGTCTCCAGGAACCGGAGTTTAATGAAGGAGGAAGACCCTGCTGTGCTTATCTCTGAGGTCCTAAGGAGGAAGTTTGCTCTGAAGGAAGAAGATACCAGTAGAAAAGGAAACTGACAACACTTTGCCCCGTAAACTCAGTTTCATGCTCCTGGAATTCCTTCAATAGCTGCCTTCCTCACTGCAGATGTTTCTGCCTCTCAATGAGAAATCTTCTTCAACAGTCTTGTTGACAAGCTAGAGCTTGGACTAAAAGAGAAGAACTAGATTATATACTTCTCGTACTTCAAAGCCTAGCAGAAGAAGCTAAGGCCTGTAATTTGTTACAGGTAATTGTATAGAATGTGGTATCTGAGTTTAAAGGGTAAGACAGAAGAAGTTTCTGATTTTTCCTCACCCATGTGTGAAAATAAGTCCTAAATGAAATGACTTCACTGCACTAGACCCCATAACTAATCTCATCGGACACTTTGGGCCCAGCTTTCACTCATTCTCAGTGGTTTCCTGGCAACAGAGCAGGACTGAGGAGAAGGGGCTATCAATCTGTGTACATGTTCACAGGGCAGGGAAATTCTTATGCTGCTCCATCATAAACCTACACCAGTATGCAGCAAACACTTTGCAATCACCCTCTCCCCTTCTCTGTCTACATACAGAGTTTGGGCTACTAAACTAGCCAACACTTGGGCTGCTGTTTGGGAGGCCTGGGCTGTTTTTTTCTTAAGCATATTTTATAATACTGAACAACCACATCTACCCTCCAGAGCCTTGGAGCTTCATCAGTTCCACTGATAAAAAACTTTCTCTTCCATGGACTTTAGTTTAAGCCTAGTAGGAAAGATATATGGGGCAGGGAAAGAATATACCATCTTTCTTCCAGACCCCTGACTGCTCCTTTGGCCAAGGTTTGTACCTACCACACCATGCATGACTCAGATGCCCTCAGGTCCCTTTCTCTAAGGTATGTGTACTGTGTATGTTTGGGTTGAAGTACTACCTAACATTAAAGGAAGAATTTAGAGAGATGCAAATGCTGTGTCCATCTCTTAAATTATGATTATCCAGTATCCTTTGGGGGTATATGACTCCTTTTAACTTTAAGGTGTATGGAACTTTTTTTTTTTTTTTGCAGTTTTTGGCTGGGGCCAGGTTTGAACCCACCACCTCCAGTGTATGGGGCCAGGGCCCTACTCCTTTGAGCCACAGGCACCTCCCTGAAACTTTCTTAAATAAGCTTCTAAGGTTTCCCTTTTTTCCTTATAAGGTCTTGCCCCAAACTCTTAGAAAAACAGTTCCATCCTATAACTTCCAAGTTTGCCACCTAGAGATTTTTTTAAGCCTCTTAGATACCACATCTGCAACATGAGAAACTACCAAAGATAATGCCTTGGGTAGAACATAGGTCAAATCAGACTTGTGTTCAGTTTAGACCCAGGGCAATGACAGGGTATACTATGAAAATGTTAATTTTTAAAAAATAAAATTAGCAATGTTTTAATTATCACCAGAGGTACCTTTGTAAATATTTACTTATATTCAGTTTTAAAAAAGGGATTCCCTTCTACCTTGTGAGAAAAGAGTAACTTAGGGAAAGATATTTAAATATAAAGTATATAAATTTAAAATGCTGTACAGTTACCACAAAAAATAAAAGTACCACCATTCTACCTATCTTTCTTTCTACCCATTCTCATACACCTGGGTCGTGAGAAGATTTACTTTATTCAAAAGGGCTCAAGAATAATCACCCCAGGCTTAGTGAGTGGGTAAGATTGCAGCCAGAGACAAAAAGAACACACATCCATAAGTAAGATCCCAGTCAGGCAACTGAAAGGGCAAAGAGTTGGGCCAGGTGCAATATCTCACACCTATAATCCTAGCACTCTGGGAAGCCAAGGCAGGAGGATTGCTTGAGCTCAGGAGTTTGAGATCTGCCTAAGCAAGAGACCTCATCTCCATTAAAAATAGCTTGTTCAGGAAATTTACTATTCACCTTCTTCAGAGAAAGCTATAACGCCAATCACACAGTCATAACAATGGCAGTGCCTGCTTTATTTACACAAAGAAAATGCTCAGTAACAACAGTTTCACAGCTTCATCCCATCCCTCCTTCCCACCTAAACCTCCCCATGCCCAATATAAGGTAATTCCCTACATATCTGCCATTTCAAGGTACTTTTTGAAACCCTCATAGAAACATTTAGAATTTGTGCCTGATAACTTGATTACCTTCAGAGTCCTGGGTAAAGAGCAAATCAGGCTGCAGATTTGACTGTGTTGGCCCATCCTGGTACTGAGCCTGAGGGTTGTTAGGAAACTGCCCTAAGCCCTGATTACAGTTATTGGTCACGTCTTGGAAAGGAGCTCTAGTGTTATGGGCAATGACTCGCTGGCCCTGAGAATCTTCAGTGAAAAGCTGACTCCATGAGTCCTTGCCCTTTTTGCCATCCCAGGAGAACTGAGAAACAGGACAAGGGCTTTGTTTTGCTGATCCCATGTTTTCTCCACTCCAGGATTCCCTGTACGTTTTAACGACAGGGGCCTGCCTGTTTTCTTTGGTAGACACCTTCTTTTTCAATTTAGTCTTGTCTAAGGGCTGACAACATTTGTTCCAAGATGGTTTGATGTGTTTCTGCAGGCCCTGATAATTCTTAGATCCATGAAGCCATTCACTTCTCACGGCAGAATCTCTTTCTCCCTTTTGGTCTGGCAGACAAGAACTTTCCAAGTCCTGGGTGAAAGAAAAAGTCAGTGAGGCATTACTTTCTCCAGCATAGTCTAGGGTGTCAGGCTGGTGCAAAGATAGCACAGACAAAAATGGGGTTCCCATTCTGTGGTGGCCGGAAGTCTGGAGAGACTGGGAAGAAAGTCCAGCTTCCTGGATGTCTGCAGGAGTTGAAGTGGCTAAAGGGGGTGCCACACAACCATCCTCTAAGCCTTGGATCAGATGGTCTAGGTGGGCTGCATCTTTCTTAGATGAGTTGTTGATCTGACTTTCTGTATGAGATGGTACACTCCTCTGGTCACAACCATTTGTCTTTCCTAGTAAAACAGGAATGAACAAATATTCTTCAGTGGGAAAATTCTGACCTGGGCAGGATTTAGTTGTTTTCTGAAATCAGTATCAGGTACTATTACAACCTAGTAACGGAATCTTCACATAACTATGCAGCTAATCCTCCTGCTTTCAATCTCACTTAATCTCAGTCTCCCTCCTGAATAGATCTTATTATTCCTCTACTCAATGTATGGATGTGTCCCATGATCTACCTGATAGTCAAACATGGCATACAATCAGACCATAGTCTACTTCTCCAGCTGAGTTTTTTAATTGTGGGGTTTAATATGGGGCACATAGTTTGCTTTTATTTTTTATTTAAATGTCCTCTCTACTAAATATTAATAGTTACCCTGACCAAATAAATACTCCCAGATATTACCATTAAAGAATCATACTTGTTCTATAAGGTCTCAAAAAATTGCAATAATACTTAGAAATTTTTCTGATGACAATGTGAAGAATTGTAGATCCCACTCCCCACATTTCATGGGAAAGAGAGAGAAGACACAGGATGCTAAATCCAACCAGTATGAAGGACAATAATAAAACAACAGCTAGGGTATAGCCTGTCCATTTTATCAGTCATGGAGTGCGTCCTATTCTGCCTTAAGATGAATGGTATGGTATTCCCAGTCTCCCCAATACCATCTAATTACAGGTAAAACAGAATAAATCATTTCCTCTTTCCTTCTCCAATAAGCATTATATTGCAAAAACTATATGTTTTGTCAACTTTGCCTAAGAATTCAATAGACTATAAAATATACCAGATTTTGTAAGTAGAAAAAGTGTTTTTTGAGAAAAATTTGTCCTTATTACATAAAGCAAAGTGATGTTTAAGTTTTAATTTGGAGGAGGGAGAATGCATTTGAAGTTTATGTGAAGCACTCCTCCCAATACTCTCCAACTAGCAAGAACTGGCTCTGGAAGGCCCAGCCTGCTGAGAACCAGCTGCTCACCTGAACAGTGACATGCAAACAAAGAACCTGCTAAAGGATGAGACATAAGCCAATTTTATTCCAACCTTTCTAAGCAAAAAGCATCTTTGAACCTTTGACTAATTTGAGAAACTTCATAAAGAAATATTAACAATTAACCTTGGCCCAGAGCCTGTAACTTAGTGGCTAAGGGCGCCAGCCACATGCACCAGAGCTGGCAAGTTCAAATCCAACCAGGGCCTGCCAAACAACAATGACAACTGCAACCAAAAAATAGCCAGGCATTGTGGCAGGCACCTGTAGTCCCAGATACTTGGGAGGCTGAAGCAAGAGAATCACTTAAACCCAAGAGTTGGAGGGTGACAAAGTAAAACTCTGCCTCAAAAACCAAAAACCTTATACAAATTACAAATTGTGGCCAACCCAAGACATACACCTAATGGCAGATCAACTCCTGAATATACCTTTTCTTTTTTTTTTTTTTTGAGACAGAGCCTCAAGCTGTCTCCCTGGGTCAAGTGCCATAGCATCACAGCTCACAGCAACCTCCAACTCCTGGGCTTAAGTGATTCTCTTGCCTCAGCCTCCCAAGTAGCTGGGACTACAGGGGCCCACCACAACACCTGGCTATTTTTTCGTTGTAGTTGTCATTGTTGTTTGGCGGGCCCAGGCTGGATTCGAACCCACCAGCTCTGGTGTATGTGGCTGGTGCCTTAGCCACTTGAGCAACCAGCACCGAGCCAATACCTTTTCTTACTACCCTGTGAGTGAATATAAATATTTATTATTAAGCTGAGCAAAATGGAACCAGAAAAGTATGTTTGTAAGTTTGTATATACTGCCCTTTTTTATAATCCAAAATGTGTTTATTGGAATGGTGTCCCATTCATTCAAGCAGGATGCTTTCTGTGCTGCAAGCCTTGCTTTTCCTCCTGTAGGTTGGCAGAGGACACCAGAGCAACCAACACACAAAACTATTATTTGAGGCAGTGGCTGTGGCTCAAGGGAGTAGGGCACCGGTCCCATATACTGGAGGTGGCAGTCAAAAACTGCAAAAAACCCCAAAACTATTATTCGTGCATGGCTAAACACTGTGGTGGTTTCACAGCATCCTGGGCATTTCATGTCCATGAAGTAGGAATTGAGGGCTCTGCATCAGGCGGTTCTTTTTTTTTTTTGAGACAATCTCACTATGTTGTCCTTGGTAGAGCACTGTGGTGTCACAGCTCACAGCAACCTCAAACTCTTGGGCTTAAGTGATTCTCTTGCCTCAGCCTCCCAAATAGCTGGGACTACAGGCGCCCAACACAATGCCCAGCTTTTTTTTTTAATTGCAGTTGTCGTCATTCAGCAGGCCCTGGCCAGGTTCTAACCCACCTGCCTCGGTGTTTGTGGCCCACACTCTAATCACTGTGCTATGGGCACCAAGCCCAGGCAGTTCTTATGTTTCCTCATCTCTTCTGGACAGAGATGAAGGAGATCCTTTGCGAAAGGTATCTTCTTGTGTGAAGGCCATCACCACCCAAAAACTATATTGCTTTTCTTTTTTTTTTTTGAGACAGGAGCCTCAAGCTGTCCCCCTGGGTAGAGTGCCATGGCATTACAGCTCACAGCAACCTCCAACTCCTGGGCTCAAGCGAGTCTCCTACCTAAGCCTCTCAAGTAGCTGGGACCACAGGCGCCTGCCACAACGCCCAGCTATTTTTTGGTTGTAGCCGTCATTGTTGTTTGGCAGGCCCGGGCTGGATTCGAACCCGCCTCTTTGGGTGTACGTGGCTGGTGCCTTAGCCACTTGAGCCACAGGCGCCGAGCCTATATATTGCTTTTCAAAAGGCAATCTTGGGTTTTTTAACCTTTTCCAATAGGTCAGTTAAGTTTAACACAATGCACTAGTCTGGCCACTTCTCATAAATGTTCCAATATGGAAAAATAAACACACTCTTTTTTTTGCTCCCCAGACAGGTCACCATACTTGGCTGCAGGGTGAAGAAGGAAGCAATGCTTCTCTGTTGAACGCCTGTAGGTGGAGTTCTTCGAGTAAAAGAAATATTATCCGTTCTTTCTCCAGGAAAGAGTGTTAGCATTTTGGTGCCTGGTTTGATTAAATGTGTCTGAAAAGGGGGAGAAAAAGAATATTAGAATCTACTGATATTAAAAGAGCTGTCAGACAGGAGATACCTTATAACAGTAACCCTCTTGGAAGCACAATGGACCAGTTGGACTCCACTTATATCTTATTATTCAGGTACTTTGTGCTGGACATCATCTTTCATTTCCTGCCATCCTGGTGATTTTTTTTTTTTAATTTTTAAGGAATCACACATTCCTACTTTAGCCTAGTCTTTCTGTTTTCCATGGAAATAAGAAAGACTGACTAAACAAGCAAAATTTGTTAAAGGGATTACAGAGATGATGTGCTTTCCTTTACATTTAAGATTTATTAATATTCTATGTCAGCACCCAGTTGATCCGTTTGCAGTAGTTTTCAAGTAAGTTACATAGCAGATAAGGGCATGGCTCCAGAGCCACACAGCCGGGGTTCAAATCAATTCCAATTCTGCCACTATTAGTTGTATGACCGGCAAGCTGCTTAATCTGTTTCATTCGCATGTGTGAAACTGGGGCAATAGTAGTACCTCTCCCATATGGCTGTTACGAAAATTTAGTGATTAATTCACATACAAGGCTTACACAGCTCCTGACACACAGGAAGCATTCAAGCTGACTAGTATTAAGTGGAGGAGTAATGGGAACAGCACCAGTCTTGCCACACTTTCATGTCAGGCCGTTTTTTACTTTACAGTGTGGTACTGGAAGATAGGCAAGAGAGATTGAGGAAGCTGAGTTTTGTCAACTGTCTACAAATACAGCTTTATCCATTTAGTGTGATTTGTTTTACTTCCATTTGCTTGTTATGGAATGCCTGAGAAGTAGGGAGAATAGGATTATACTCAATTCAATTAAGCTGTAATTGCCAAAGAGAAAATGAGATTTGCCAATATTCATGCAGTTAAGTTTGGAAGTAGACCTGAAACTTAAACCCAAATTACTAATTCTAGCTCAAAGTTGACTATATCATTTTTTACATTTGGAAACTAAGTTATACTTTTGAGTGCTTAAAAGAACAAAATCCTGGATATACAATTCATACTTAGACATGGAGTAGTGGCACAGAACTTGTTCTCCCACCATATACAACTAGAAAACTGGAGCAAAGGTGCATGAAAAAAATTGATTTTAGGCTCGGCACCTGTGGCTCAACTGGCTAAGGTGCCAGCCACATACACCTGAGCTGGCGGGTTCGAATCCAGCCCGGACCCACCAAACAACAATGATGGCTGCAGCCAAAAAATAGCCGGGCATTGTGGCAGGTGCCTGTGATCCCAGCTACTTGGGAGGCTGAGGCAGGAGACTCGCTTGAGCCCAGGAGTTGGAGGTTGCTGTGAGCTGTGATGCTACGGCACTCTACCCAAGGGGACAGCTTGAGGCTCTGTCTCAAAAAAAAAAAAAAAGATTTTAAACAGCAGACAACAGGCAGTACATAACTGTGAACCCTGAGAAAAGGGAAACAAGTGAGGTGAGCCCTATGACCACCTCAGCTTTCTGCCTGAAACCACTTTCCATACCACAATATATACCCAAAGCAGAGCACTGCAGTTTTGATGAACTGAGTAGATGGAGACTGAATTTGCGGCACCTGAGATGGCTGAGATTTATAACAGAGAAAGACCTCCACCAACTACATAGGGATCCCTTCAAGTCCATTACTGAATACTAAGCCATGTGTAAGTAAAACCCCATGAGGCCAGGCAAAGACACTGCAAACTGCAGTTGTAAGCTAAACAATTCCCAGAACAACTCACATAGGATGGGAGATATCTGACTTTTCACTAGACAGAGTAGAGCGATGACCTTGAAACAAGACACATTCAGTAGAGTTCTAAGAAGAAAACTTTTTTTTTTTTTTTTTGAGACAGTCTCACTTTGTTGTCCTTAGTAGAGTGCTGTGGCATCATAGCTCACATGATCCTCTTGCCTCAGTTTTTCATTTTCAGTAGAGACAGGATCTCACTCTTGCTCAGGCTGGTCTTGAACTTGTGAGCTCAGGCAATCCACCTGTCTCAGCCTCCCGTATTGCTAGGATTACAGGCATGAGCCACCAAGCCTGGCCAAACCATTCTTTTGGGTCTTTTTTTTTTTTTTAGACAAAGTCTCATTCTGTCATGCTTGGTAGAATGCTGTGGCATCATCATAGCTCACAGCAACCTCAAACTTTTGGGTTTGAGCAATCCTCCTGAGTAGCTGAGACTATAGGTGCCTGCCACCATGGCCAGCTAGTTTTTCTATTTTTAGTAGAGACAGGGTCTCGCTCTTCCTCAGGCTGGTCTTGAACTCCTGAACTCAAGCAATCCACCCTCCTCAGCCTCTGAGAATGCTAGCATTAAAGGAGAGAGGCACTACACCTGTCCAGAAACCATTCTTTAGTAGTAGAACTAGCCCTAGATCAAAAACTATTCCAGGCTCGGCACCTGTGGCTCAAGTGGCTAAGGTGCCAGCCACATACACCTAAGGTGGCGGGTTCAAATCTAGCCCCGGCCCGCCAAACAACGATGACGGCTGCAACCAAAAAATAGCTGGGCATTGTGGCGAGTGCCTGTGGTCCGAGCTACTTGGGAGGCTGAGGCAGGAGACTCGCTTGAGCCCAGGAGTTGGAGTTTGCTGTGAGCTGTGATGCCACAGCATTCTACCCAGGGCCACAGCTTGAGGCTCTGTCTCAAAAAAGAAAAGAAATTTACTAGATAGTCTTAATAACAGATCAGAGGCTACAGAAGAAAATATCAGCGAACTAAAAGACATAGCAAAAGAAACTATACAAAATGAAACAAAAAAATGAAAAAGAATAAACAAAGTCTTAATAATCTATAGATATAAACATTACATATTATTTAGTCTCAAAAAAACAAGGTAGAAGGTAAAGAAAATCTATTTGAAGAACTAATGGCCGAAGACTTTTCCAAGTTTGATGAAGAGTACAAACTATACTAGATTCTTTTTTAATGATAGCCAACACAACATCTCTCATTTCACATATTCTTCTCATGCGACCATGACACTCTTTCCATCAGGTGGCAAAATCTGTATTCCTTTACCTTGAACTTAAAAAGAACTTTGTGACTACTTTGACCAATAAAAAATAATAGAAGTAACAAAACACTATATAATTTCCAAAGCTAGATCATAAAAATCCCATGTACTTCTGCCCTGCTCTCGAGATGCTCACACTTGGACCCTGGACACCATATTATAAGGAAGCCCAAGCTGGCATATGGCTTTTTAAATTTTATAAGAACCACATCGTAGCTATGTGAAATGATGTGGATTAATAGGTCCACAAATATGTGAGCACCTGTATACTAGATACTGAGAATTTAGTTATAAAACAGATTGCTCGGCACCCATAGCTCAGTGGTTTCGGTGCTGGCCACACACACCAGAGCTGGTGGGTTAGAACCCAGCCTGGGCCTGCTAAACAATAATGACAACTACAACAAAAAAATATCTGGGGGTTGTGGCAGGCACCTGTTTTCCCAGCTACTTGGGAGGCTGAGGCAAGAGAATCACTTAAGCCCGCGAGTTTGAAGTTGCTATGAGCTGTGACACTATGGCACTCTACCCAGTGCAACATAGTAAAACTCTGTCTCAAAAAAAAACAGATTGCTCAGTAAAGTTTACAGTTTAGAGAGAAAATATGCTAATAATTACATAAATTACCATAAGTAAGGCCAGGCGTGGTCGGTCATTCATACCTGTAATCCTAGCACTCTGGGAGACTGAGGCAAGAGAAATGCTTAAGGTTAAGAGCAAGACCACCTGGAACAAGAATGAAACCCTGTCTATATAATAGACAACTTAACCACGCATGGTGGTGCATACCTACAGTCCCAGCTATGTGGGAGGCTGAGATAGGATGATCACTTGAGTCTAGGAGTTTGAGGATGCAGTGAGCTATGATGCTGCCACTGCACTCTAACCAGGGGGACCGAGTGAGACTGCCTCAACAAATAAATAAACTAATTAATTACAAAAGTATGCTAAGTACTATAAAGAAGCTTTACAGAAAGCTACAGATTATCAGACCTCAATTAGCAAAACATCTGAGTTACCAAGTTGACCGAGTTAGCTCAAAGATGTTCCTTCCTTAGGTCAGAGTGATGTCAGAAATGACAACATGCCAGTTGTAGCTTTCTTAGAAAATCAATGGCTTCAAGGATCTTTTTATCTCAGTGTAATGTTAAGATTGAGTGAAGACAGATCATTTGAACTGAGAAGGACCCAGATACAAAGTCCTTCAGCTAATTATCCCTACCTCAAAACAAAGGCAGCATCTGCTTTATACAGTACAGGCATATCTCATTTTATTGAGCTTCACAGACACTGTTCTGGGGGTATGTGTGTGTTTTAGTTTGTTTTTCTTTCTGCAAATTGAAAGTTTGTGGCCACCCTGCATTGAGCAAGTCTCTCAGTGCCATTTTTTCAATAGCCTATGACCACTCTGTGTCTCACATTTTAGTAATTCTCATAATATTCCAAACTTTATTATTTAATAATTTTTTTTTCTTGTAGTATTTTTCAAATTACAGATATTTGGGTTTTTTTTTAATTTTTTAATTTTTTTTATTAGATCATAATTGTGTACATTAATTCTCTCATAGGATACAGTGTGTTATGTCTATATGCAGTTTGGAAAACTCTCATCCAAGTGGCTAACATAGCAATCATGTCTTTCTCATAATTGTTAAGACATTTATATTATATTTAATAATTATTATATTTGTTGTGGTAATCTGTGATCAGTGATCTTTGATGTTTCTATTGTAATTGTTTTGAAGTGCCATGAACCACATGTGTATATGATGGAAAAGTTAATAAATGTGTGTGTTCTGACTGTTCCACTGAATAGCTGTTTCCCAGTCTCCTTCTCCTTGGGCTTTTCTATTTCCTGGGGACACAACAATGAGATTAGACCAGTTAATAACCCTACAATGGCCTCTAAGTGTTCAAGTAAAAGGAAGAGTCACAGGTCTCTCACTTTTAAATCAAAAGCTAGAAA